ACGTAACAAAGCTGGCCTATAACCTACATCCAAGCATATACTACATTAACTCGACTCTTCGTCTTATTTAATTCATCCCACTCTCTTCGCCATTCTCATCAACATCTTCATCGATTGCCATCAGCAACTGCCACTGCAACACGAAACCATAGTAGCTCTCCAACATAACAATCAACAGACCTTAGACCTTGGGGACAAAGGAAAGGAAGGGAAGGGAGGAGGAATCCTTCAATTGTCACTGTTCGGCCGTGTCATTTCGAGCCTCTTTTGTAGTAGCTTGTATCATTTTCTCGATAGCAGCTATCCCACCACTTCTTTGACCTTGCAGGAATGCAAATGGACAATCGATCTGGTGGTACACGTATTGTAGATGCCTCATGTGTAGCAGATGGCGTAGTTACCTTCTTTGGCTTCCGTTTTCGCCGTCAATCATTGTCCCATCGTGAGTGGTGATGCGAATCAGTTGATTCATCATCCCGAAACCAAAAATTGTCGCAAAGTACTTTCGAGCATAGGGCTAAAATCCCCGAAAAATTGCCCTTTGCACTGTCTTATTGGCGTTAAAATACCACGTATTCTAAAAATGACCATTTTTAATTTCTATGGTGATATTTTTTTAGAAAAGCCCGAAAGTGGGTATGGGAAGGGGGGGTTTTTCGTGGATCGGGGTCTTATATTTGACAATCTAAACAATTGTCCAAGAAATGTTCACAGCACATACCAAAACAATTACAGAGTTTGGCGACGTTTCTGTCAATTGAGCGAAGATTCAATGGCGCCTTTTGTTCTGGCTCTCGCTGGAACTCGTACAGCAAGTGTCCATCCGCCTTGATTGCGTCGTATTTCTTAAGCAATACTTGAACTTCGCAAATCACCTGGATGGGGCCTCTGACTCCATCTACTTTCCTATCGCTCACAAACACAACATTGTATTTCCGATCCGCATACCTGACATTACCACGCTGGTGCAGATTCTTGGTTCGTGCTACCCCAAACGTACTCTCAATCAATTTGCCAACTTGAAGATTCTGAGAAAGCGAATCAACAATGAAGCTGCACCGAAGTCCATCAATAACTCTCATCGAAGCATCAACACCTTCCGAAAATTCTTGGCCATATTCCTCTGTCTTTTCATATGATCGAAGGAATCCTTTGACGCCCGGAGCACTCTTGAATGAGACACCTTCGACGTTGTCTGCTATGGCGCTCATCTTCTCTTCGAACTCCTCCTTGATAATTTCTTGAAGACAAATCTGCCAGATTAGCAACAGACTCCTCCAATAAGGCGCCGAATTTCTGGGGTCGCCCAAGAACAATCCAATGAGAGGCTGATCACCAAACAGTCGGTGGCGACCTTGGAGGAGATCGCAAAAGTCACCAGAGTTTTGGATGGCACCAACTGCTTTCAAGTCACGAACAGCTTGGATACCATTTTGGTTACGGATGAAGTCAGGAAGAGGCAGGAATGTCGAATGTCTCAGTTTTTGTTTGGGGGCGGTGTAATACAGCTCACGGCCAATGTCGAAAAACTCATCGGCCTCTTTTTCGGATTCCAATGATTTGTAGACTTCGCCATACCGCTTTTCAATACTTTTTTGGGCATCTTCAAGAAGTTTATTGAACTCTTCAATATAGGCCCCTCTTGCTTCTTCCTTGGTGGTCCCAGGGGGGCCCGCTCTGATTTGTAGATAAAAGAGAGGGTAGTTAGAAATCGATAATGAATTGTGAAAGAATGAAGCGGCGTATATACTTGACATTGCACTCACGATTGATAATACATCCAACGAAGAAGTGCTACATCGTCATGGGTTAGCTTGTCGTCATCAGAGACTTCTTGGGTCGAGAGCAACAACACCTGCTTCAAGAAGTCATCGAAGATGGTTTTCCGTCGACTCTCCAACTCTTTGTGCGAACCTTCGTTGGCACAGAAAAGCATATCAATCACATGAAGATGATGCAAGCTTCTATCGCCATTGTGACTTTTGCTGATTAACTTATAGATGTCATCGCACTTCTGCCTGGCACTTTTCTTCTTCTTCTTCAGAAGCTTTTTCAGTTGGTCAAAGGAAGGTCTTGGTTTTAGTGCGTTTGCACATTCTGTAAAATTGCTTGGATCGTCCAGCATCATGTAAGGAGTGCTGCCCTGATAGTTAAGAATGGTAAAGTCAGATCTATTGGTGTCGAGGAGCAACCGCACCATTGCAGCTGCCTTTCCATCGCCAAGCGTGTAAGTTCTATAAACAAGAAGGTGCATGCCTGTATTCCCGTAGTAGTGGTCTTGGCGGTTCGGGTCAGCGTCATCGTGTTCTAGCAACCAATTCACACACTGAACATAACAGCGTCGAATGGCCACGCTTAGAACAGTGGTGCCATATGGATCGGGCCAATTCAAATCGGCTCCTTCTTCATGACATGACTTCAGATACTCAAGCGCATCGACGTCCCGCTTTTCTCGACGGAACTCTTCCACCATACTCATGGAGACTTCTCTTCGCGCTTGAGTCTCCTCGTCTGGGCCATCAACGCCCGAAAGCTTAGATACTTTATTTGCCCTTCCGACTCTTGCAAAAATGAAAACTGCGATGTCGCTTCTATAGCCTAGTTTCGGGATCCATTCATTCTCTAGCCACCATGTCAGCACGAAGTAATTATGCTTGGTACAAATCTCTAAAAGTTCAACCCAACCATCACCGTTGTGCTCGCAAAAAAGAATCATCATCCATGGAATACCAATAATCTTCCAGATTGCCATCACAACTCGATCAATGATCGTTTCAAAACAACAGAAAATAGAAAACTTTTTACTTCTTTTTGGGTATGGGTTGAGCAAGGAACAAAATGTTGTAATCAAGACAGCGAAAAAGATTACAATCAGGCCTATGATTTGGTTGAAGGAACCAAGAATCGTCCACAAGAATGTGCCAAGACAGCCACATGTCCTTGTGCAAAAGGAGTCACCTGAGGAACAGCAAGCGTTAGACCAGTCATTTCAAGAAAGGAGCAGCACACAGTGACGACCATATACTGTATACATACCATCTTTGGTCGGAGCTCCAATCTTTTTGTAGTCTACGGGATCCGGAAGCTGCTTAAAATGAGAACCAGGGTCTCCAAATACTTCTTTTCCTTTTTTTGAAGAACAACCATCATATTTTGTAGACCAACCAGCAATCGCACCGCGGATACCCTCTTCAATGTCCCTTGCTTTACTCTTCATCTGAAAAATACGATCGTGTATCGCGGTATTGATAAAAAAAGTTTCGCCCGCACTATTACAGTATTGTGAGGTATTTTTGACTACCGTGTATTTAATACCAGTACGATTCGAGTGATATGGAGAAAAGGAATTGACATCTTATTGCCATGCATGCATATTTACTCGTACGCACGCACGCGTTTCAATGAAATTCGGGAATCTCCATTTCGTGGTCACTTCATCTCAATCCAATGGTCGTCAGCGTTCGTCTGCCAATCGAGCGGATGCAAGAGAGGACAAGTGCTTCGGTAGTTACGGAAGCAGAATTCTCTTACACCTACAGTACAGTACTGTAGCCATTGAGATCCAATGGTCGTCAGCGTTCGTCAGCCAATCGAGCGGATGCAAGAGACTGCAGTTGCCAATGGTCGTCAGCGTTTGTCTGCCAATCGAGCGGATGCAAGAACGGAGGACAAGTGCTTCGATAGGTAATTACGGAAGCAGAATTCTCGTACACCAATAATAGCCAATGAGATCCTCTGATTTGAATTCCTTCTCCAAGGAAAATACTCAGTTCGTACGGTACCAGGTACTATCCACTATCATACCGGTACCATGTGCACCAACTGCCTCTAGCGCTAATCTGGGTGGTCTTCCTTGAGGCTACAGTAAAAGGGAAAAGGAGAGGTAGAAGCAGAAGAGATTCCGTGTTCTCAATTTTAAAAAAGTTCTTTATCAGCCATCGGAAATATACTGTACTCGTACCAGGTACTGTACCGGTATACTACAGTATTAATACTGTATACATCGAAAATACGCCAAAAAGTGAGGGTCATTCAGAATTATGGGCCTCGAGTCATCATAGACATAATAATATTGGACTGCCGCAAACACAAGCGATATTGACAAAAACACCACACATTCTATAGGTAGAAAACAAACATGGGACACCCAGAAGTTCAGGTCAACGTTCATAATTTCTTTCTCATCAAGCAAATCGTGGAAGAAGATAACAGCCTAATAGCAGTTGGAACCTTCATTCAACACTGCTTTGAAGATGAAAAGACAAACGAGATGATCAGGGGCAGAATGCACGAAGAAGGCAAAGATATCGATGATTATGAAATCAAGTTCGAGTATATCGCTTCAACGATGAAACTGCTGATAACGACAGTGGGTATGTTCGGCATCGACGGACTGAAAAGTATGAAACTGACATGGGAACCCTATACCGCCACACTTATCAAGTCAAGGCACCGTTGGATGTCAATGTCGAATTGGATTACTTCCCGTTCCGTGTGGTCAGCGCCAAGTTGTTGGTCGAATTGAGTACCTTTACCACTCTTGACAACGAGACGCGGCTCCGACCAAATCTCATTCTGCACTTGTTGGATAAGACCAACATGTTTAGCATTCAAAAGGATCAAATGACCGAGACAAAAGGAAGCGATTTCGATAAAGCGAAAGACAAGATGGACAAAGCAGACAGCTATGACTTTATTTCGCCCTTTCCAAAAGTGGCCTACCTCTACGACACAAACAAGAGATATTGCCCCAAGTTTATGATTACCTTTCTAATGGTCGAAGATGGTATGAAGAAATTTGTTGAGATTGTGGCTCCCATGTTCTTGATTGCTGGCATGAATACGATTCATGTTCTGAATCCAGATGAAAAAGTGGAAGTGGCTGACTACATTGCCAACTCGGCCACCTTTGCCCTTTCTGTGCTCGTCTTCTTGCCGACCATGGTTGGAACCTCGAGAGTCCAACAAGTCTGGACCCCGAACAATCTTTACATCGTGTTGATTTTTGTTGCCCTCACATTGTCGAGTATACCCGACACTTGGGCAGGTCACAAGGGCTATGCCATTGCTGGAATGATTATCTACTGGGTTTCGTTTCTGTTCCCGATTGTCAATAGCATTCGCTACCTTCTGTTCCTTCGCAAGGCAAGACGAAAGGCAAACGCCAAACATTTTTGGCAGGGCCCCAGCAAGAACCTTTACAAGGCTTCCAAGAAAGAAATTGCTCACGAGTTTGCCAAAGTGGAAGAGATTGTCTACAAGCCAGATGATGAACGCTTGCAAATGGAATATACAGTGCGGGAAGTGCACAAGTTCCGTGTGCTCGAATTTGCTTCTGTGGGTGCCATTGCCCGTAGTAAAAAGAAAAAACCAGCAGGTGCGGCAAAACTGGAGGTTGCTGTTTGATGATGATGTATCGAAATCAACGAATGAAACCTGGAATATATTTGTATTGTTCGTATTATATATATTATAACGATATATAGTCATTTATTTATTTTCAGTCTGTCTTATATTCTGAACCGATTCTACTACTGTAGTATTTCGTTTGTGATTCCACGATTGGGTTGTGCATTATAAGTTACGGAACAGGATGTGACCATCCGCCTTGAAACCATCTCCTCGGTTTTCACGTGCACACCCACAAATAGATGTATCCCCACAATGACCTGGGAATGTTACCATACACACGTCCGTTTTCGAAAAATCACCTGGTTGCCTTACGTCGAGGAGATGATGGCCATGAGCTTTTTTTCATACTACGATGACAAACCTCGTCCATGATCAATATTCAGCAGAATGAACAAGGTTCTACGCAATGCAATTCAATGCTGGGCATATTCAATATCAATAGTGTATTGAAATGCGTTTGGATACTTGCGTAAGTGTAGAAGTCTATTGAGTCGCCGCCAGGGCAAGCCCGCATACCCAATTTCCAAATTTCAAATCAGCATTCGAGCGACAACTGCGTTACATACGAGTACACACAGTAGTAACAACCAATAGCTCAGCAAGTCGTTGAAACTGCAAAAATTGCAACAGCCTACTGCTAAAAGGTGCAATACTGACTGAATCAAATCAATCCATGGCTTCGTTGGAGGTGGCGAAAGTCACGGAACAGGATGTGACCATCCACCTTGAACACGAACGGGACACTGAGTGCGACTACGAAGCCCTCACTGCGATTGAGGTTGACATCCTTGTTCGTGGGAAAATAGTCGGAAAGATTTCTGGTACACGAATCGAAAGATTAGCGATTCCAGATGGATGCTTTTACTCCGTGATGGATGAACACAGCAGCGACTTGCAGTATGTTGCTGTGAACCTTTTCGAGCCACGGCGTGGAAGGACAAAGCTCCATTCTCTGCGGGACGGAGGTGATCATCCCGAGCTCGCTATTCTTTACATCAGCAGGCTTGAAGTGAATGAAGAGTATACGGTGTTTGGATCATCAGATGTGGGAGCGTATGCTTTGCGAAAGTTGCTGCATCATCCATACATTAGATCAAAAGGGCTGTCGCAGTTCGCTAACGAGTGGCTTACTTCCAGCTGTATTTACATCTTGGATGGTAACACACCTGCGGATAGAAGTTATGCGAATCAATTTCTCCGCAATGGTTTTCGTCAAGACAAAGCTGTAGTAGGCCAAGGCGGCGACCGTTTCCTCGTTGCCGCACGTATCCATTGGACGGAGCCGTTGAAATCCCATGCCGAAGTGGCAGCTATGCAACTCCTTGTTGCCCCTCCCAAACCACCACCACCAACCGGAAAGGATGCCGAGATTCGTGAGATCATTGAGCGTAGAATACAATCTCCTGGCAGTGGGAACGCTTCGTATCAGTCCGAGGTAGATCGATTAATCAATGAGGGTGGGTCATTGGCACGATCGAATGCCCTGCATTGTGCTTGTGCAAATCAAAACATGGCGATGGTCGACTACATACTACGGAAGGATCCTTCAACGATTGAGTGCAGAGATGAGACATGGTCCACCCCGCTGATGATTGCTGCAGCCTCAGCCGCCGCATTAGGAAACAGGGCGGGTATTGCCAGAGATCAACCTGTGATTGACCTACTCCTTCGTTCTGGAGCTCGCAAAGATACGGTGAACTCCAAAGGAATGACGGCGTATGGAACCATGGTACAAATGCACAATCAGCTGAATGAAATGTTGCAGGCAATGATGGGAGTGCCGGTAGGAGGTGCTTCAACAAACACCCCTGGCCTATCAGAGCTAAAGACAAAGTTGATGCCACCAGGGGGGCCGACTACCGTAGATCGAACGGGAGGCCAAGAGGCTCCTGAAGGATTCGTTGACTATTCATAAGACGATGCTGGATTGGATGATTATTAGACCGCTATATGTCTATTATTTTAATTCTCAATATGACTACATAATTCCTAGTATTACTGTCGCCATGCGATGTGCTTGCTATGTGTACATTTTAACTGCAACGTTGTCAATCTAGACTGCTTTTTCTCTGCGCGCTTGGACTGGAGGTGGTCCGATGGCCACGGCTTGTGACTGCTTGTCATAATATCAACCCACCAATTCAGGCGATCCTCTGGAACTGGTAGCGCAAAAGCAGCTTGTCAAAATATTACTGTGATGGATAGATGTCACGTTTTTCTCTGGACTGTTTGCTGTCTACTTTGTCATGTCGTGGAGTGGAACAGAAATATGCTGGTGTGGTGTGGTGACACATCGCCCTACCAGCTGGGGCCAAAAAGGGCGTCATGAAGCAGGGACCCTGTGATTGACTACGTCTTCCAGTCTTAGTACCAGAAAAGATCTGATCCTTACCCGAACACCACCATCCCCATCATCATTACTACAAGTCGATGCATCCGACAAAGGGTTTTCCGTTGAATCCTTTGCCCTTGATAACAATCTCATTCTTAAATCTAGCACAGTCTCCTGGTTTCTCCCAGTTATACTCGGGGGAGGCAAAACGAAACGGGACGGGGCTTTCTGCTAGTGTATCTTCTATGACTTTCATTTGATGCGCAGAATACTGTTCGCAATTGGGATAGGACGGGCGAACAATGTATTTGGTCACGTTGCATCCATGCAATCGTTGCATCTCGTATTTGCTCATTTGGAGACCACAGCATCGTCGTATAATCCCAAAGGATTTCATGTGATTTTTCAACTGTAAAATTTCGGTTGGTGACAACTGAAAGAATGGTTGATAGCGATCGATCTCACATTCAGGACATTTCTGAACACTGCCATAATCTTGAGTGTAGAGTGCATACGATGATCCGACTCCACCTGACGAAAACACCGCAATCTTGGAACTAAATGCGAGCTGTTTTAGTATCCCAGGATCATTGTGCGCCTTGTAGACAAAGGTTTGATTGCTATCCACTGATTGTTGTAGTTTGCGATGAAACCGAGTGTTTTCCATTTGCTTGTACTTCATGAATCGACACGGGATCTTTCTTCTGCCAGTTTGTTGTCGAGTCTTCCAGGTAGCCATGCTGCATAGCAATTCGAATTGGAAGGTAGAGGCAGACCGAGGATCTCCTAATTGAAAGATTTGGAAGGGTTGCTTCAAAGCGCCTTGACCACCAGCCGTACTTCGGATGACTTGTTCATTGCGTTTATCGACATAGCTAGGATTTGGATTGGCTCGAAAGTCTGCCAGGTGGCTGTGAATGAGAGCAGAGGTGAAAGATGATCTCGAATTCGTTATCATTTCAATCTGGAGGAGTACAAAGACGACAAGCAGGCATGATCCAATAAGTTGCACCA